AAATGCCCCTCCTCATCTTCATCGGGACTTAGTTCTTGCCTTCTGCTTCCTCACTGCGAAGACTGAACACAAGGGAAGTAGAATGCTAGTAACACAAGCCTTTTTCACTCTCATCACTAGTGCGACTGCATTCTGGCCCCTTACACATACGCTAGTCGCTTTGCAGAAAAGGTAGATTTTTGTACTATACAAAGAAAGTGAATTCTGATTACTTCTACCAGCAACATATGTAGAGGAGGAGATTTAACAAGGCAGAAACTGTAGCAAGACAGCGACTGAATCTTCTGAACATCCCTTAACGGATACCAAGTTTAAAGGGCACTTACTAAATGCTAACCGTGTTTGCCTCAGCTGCAGGTGCACTCTGAAGTCTGTCTGGAATCCAGTACCAGAAACAGTGAGCGCAGATCCAGGTACTCCTTTAAGATGGTCGTACTCCCAGCGACAATGCCAGATGCCTGTTAAAAATCAATCAATATCAAATGAGCGTTTTTGAAGAGTGCAAGACAAGGTTGGGGTTATTTAAATCTTTGACAAGTGAAGCGTTTTGTCCTCAGCATGTCAGGGAAGCAAAACTAAACACGCGTTACTGCGAGACTAGCCAGCTATAACATCACATCTACAGATAAGAAAGATCAGTACAAGTGAAAGCGGACTAAGTACACTGGGGGTAAATAGTTCAGGTTACTACATCTGGGGCTAAGTATCAGCACAGCTGGATTCTTACTGAATTTCGCTGCCATTTAGGCCCTTCTCATTTAATTGAGTCTAAACCTAGGCACTAGCTCTCCCAACTACAGCATTTAACTGATGTAATCAATTGCTTTCCTTGCCCAAAATTAAGCAATAAGGAAAAACAGCCTCAGAGCCTGGAGGATTACACCTACCATAACCTGTAATTCCAGTCACACCAAAGATGAAAATCCAGAAGAGAATCCCAGCTGTGAACCTCAATAACACAAGGAAGAGCAGACTCACAATCATTGCAACGAACAGCCCACTAGAAAGACAAGAAACAGAAACCCAGGGAGAACAAGTATGAGCATCTTTCTTGCACGCCTCTTACTCCAAATGAGGGTCCCTTCGTCTCGTGTAGGAGAACGGTTTGCAAAAATGTATTTCAAAATCTTCCTTATGAAATATTTCCTCATGGCTCTCCGCTGTTAGAAACAGACAGATTATATATGATGATCTGGACACAGCCAGAATTGTCTGCGTACACCGAGTTCTCAGGGCGTCTGAATGGGACCAGCACACGTCTGGTTTGGTCATTTACACTGGCTGACCAACTCACTGCCTTTTCCAGGCCATGGCCTAGTCTACAGCATACAAAGTTAAATGGGAGACATACCTGTGTGTGGGGAGGTTACTGGTTTATGTCCTCCATTTAAAATCCCTGCTTGCACAGAAACAAGATTAGGAAAGTAACATTTGAGGAGCTTTCCTAGAAAAAAAAGAATTCATTTTAGGAGGAAAACCACTGATCCTTTCTACCCATCGGAGAAGAAAATGATCAGGGCATAGTGATGCATAAAAAGAACCTGTTCAGAGCCATCAGTGGGACCCCTAGGATGGACATCTCCAGTGTCTTTATCAAGTCTGTGCTAAGGAAACATTTGCTTTCATTTCACTCCCAGAAAAAAAGTCAGAAAGTAAAGAATGACTGCAAAAGGCCTTTATTCAGCGGGTTTCTTCTAAAGCAATGCAAATAAAGCAGTGGGAACAACGGTTCCATCCAACAAAGATCCAGCTCAGACCCTTCACAGAACATTTCATTTCTCTACAACTCTGAGGTGTTACATCAGAATTTTGTGCTAGAACAGACTCATAAGAAATGAAACCCTTTTCTTCCCTGTGGTCAGGAACTTCTCTTCTGAATGTTCCCAGTTTATTTAGCCAGTGACTAAAGATAACAAATGGGTCAGCCTGACCACAGACAATCAAAACCGGATGTTTTGGGCAAACTAAGCCAGACGGGCAGAGGGACAAGAAAAAGAACATCAGTTTATTTAGTTAAGCCTTTGTAAACTGGTCTTAAGTCCTAGCCCCTTAGAGGCTTCCCAGCATGATGCGTGTTCCCTTTCTGAATGGCTTGTTTGAAATTCAGAATGTATTCCTCAAAAAAAGCACTGTCATTTTGGAGTTCCTGACTCTCTTCTTCAAGGCAGTAAGATACCTTTATCTACGGTTAGCTTCAGATTTGCTCTAGTAACACCAAAACTGAATGAATACATGGTAACAACTGTCATTAATAGAGTGCTTCCCTTAAACTGAGCCTTGAAAGCAGCAGTTCTTTGGGAGTAGGATAAAAAGAACAGAGCAATTCCATATTAGATTTTTAATCCCACCTCCTTCCACCATCAGGCCTTCACTCTCATCACCCAAACTCTGGCACTTTCATATGTTTGCCCAGAAATCACTGGATGCATGCTGTCATTTGGTGAAAAGTGTGAGGAAAATTCTACCCAACTACTTTAAAAGTAACAACAATCCCTTATAAAAGTATCCTATTTGAAATGGGGAAACTGGCTTCAGTATGGAGAAAGTCTGTTCAGAAAATGCTCAAGTCTCTCTCCAGCCCATCTGTTGAGCAGCATCTCCTTTGAGAGAATCTTCACCATAAGTCTGATTTCAATAACAGATCTAGAGAGAACGGTCATTTAGGCATATATACTCACAGATCTGCTGCAGCAAAATTGCTACTTCTTTTGTTTTGGTGCTGCATTTTTACTAATCGCTCATTATTGAGTAAGAATTGCAAGATAAAGCTAACTCTGTTCAGTAGTTTTTGTTCTTTAAGTTGCTTTGCCTGCTGCACTGGATTTGTGTATTACAATGAATTTAACTACATGTTGCTAGTATCAATTTGGAAATTGGGATGTGTTTTATATAGATATTCACGACATTTAGCAACTGCAATTGGTTTGAAAGTCTCGTAATCAAGAACTTTTAGGTTTGGAATTACCATGCAGATGGGTCCTGCAACAGAAGACAGCAGCACCTCTTGAGTTTCTGCCTGGTAGGATATTCAAAAGCTACTCCAGACCATACTGTATGCATGTATGCTGTGCTATCCTTACCTCACATACAGAACCATAACAACATTATGGCAAAGCTTAAAAGTAGGTTTGGTACCAAACACGTACGTCATCAATTCTTCAATTCCCTACACATTCCATAGTGAGTTTGGAAAAACATAAAATTACCCATTAGAATCTTACATTAAAATCCAGTACCAAGAAATAGCATAGTCTTCAAAATTTTTACTCCAATTGATCTTGCATCCAGGATATTACTGATGCTGCTGACAAAAGACAAGACTGCTAATAGCAGAGAAGCAGAAAACAGCTCAGTGAAGCAAAAGGAGGACTTCTTGGAGTTGTTTTCCTATCCTGCAAAGTGCTTGCCCATATTAGCGTTTCCTAAGAAGAAATGAAGAATCATCTTGTCAAAGAACAAACAATGTAGTTGTAGATGCCAGAAGAAGGAAACTTCCTAAGCTGCGGGTGCTAGCACTGCTGGGAAGGTGCTAGAATGCGGCAGCCTCAGATCCAGAGGTAAGAAAAGGTACCCCTGTGCTCCGGACAGGCTGAGGATGGAGAGTAGCTGGTTGCTACCCAGCATTGGAGATGCTTGCTGTCCATCTGCAAGGGAGGTGCTGTCTGGCATCAGAGCCCAGGACGTTGCCTTTTGACCTTCAGATGTGTGCTAAAAACAGGAGCATGCTGATGAGGTGAGATGCAAAAGTACTAGGACAATCCACAGCACTAGGAAGGCTGCTGTAGGAAGGAAGAGCTGAGGCCATCACTGGCTGGCCCGAGTCCTGCTGCATGAAGACTTCAATTTGAACCTCCTTTAACTTTCCTTGCTATTAATTTTGGCTAGGAAAACCAAGTGGAATGTCTTAAAAACTGACAGTCATTCTGAGGAACACTAAAGCTTTTGGCTCCTTGCTCATTTCTGCATACCACAGTGCTGGTTTTCCCTACTGGAACTTTGCAAGTGCTCAGGCACAGAAACCATCTACCAGGAAGTCTCGTCTGGGTACCCTCAGCCATTTGATACAACAGATTCTGATCTTGGTTTTTCAATTCCTAAATTATTTCACAGTCTCAGAAGCCAACACACAAGCACTTAAGAAGGGTAAAACCTACTTTGCAGCTCCCCTGAGGTCAGTTACGTTTCTTGTTTTCCCTCTTCCATCTTTGAAGGTAGTCTGATTTGCCACAGCTAGCACACCACTCTTCATGGAGAAGTCCAGGAAGCGTCTCTTCAGAACTATTCAAAATACCAAAAGAAAGCAGAAATGGAAAGCAATGGAAAAAGGAAGCAATGGAAAAAAAGACAGAAACTATGGGTAAGACAGAGAGAGGAGTTTATAAAAGAAAGAGACAAGGACAGACATTCACACACTCATTTATGTTGCCCTGCTCTTTGCTGCACCAAATCCTTGTTTTCATTCCAAAGGGAAGAGTAGGTCAGTCCTCCTACACGGCTGTACATCACCTTTATCTACTGGTTCTGCACTTTCCTTATCAGGTTCCAATAAGCACTGATGCCTGGGCTTAATATTCAGTCTGCAATATCTACTCCCCCACTTATTCTCAGGAAACAATTAACTAACCTGTGTTAATTAACAATTAAATATCCTTCTGTGATCTTCCCCTCTGGCTGTAGGCAAAAAGAAGGTAAGAACTTCTTTGCAAATGATTTTCTGTCTTTTGGGTCAGTACATCATTTTTCATACAGATTTTTAATTCTTTAGCGCTTCATCCATTATTTTCTCTTTTTGACAGCCTGGGCCTGCTTTACACAATCTCTATTTTAAAGCATGGAAAAAAGTAACAGCACTTCCTTATTTGCACGACCTTCTAGGTCAGTGACAGATACTCTTGAGCTCGGAGACCTCTGCCTGTCTACTCAAAAGCACCTGCTGACCACAGTGACAAAACCAGCTTTTTGTCCCCATAATTCCTCTGCCGCCCTCCATAGGCAGCACTATGTGCAGCACTGAAAAGCAAGCTGCCCAGTTAACTGGGCTCAAGTACCACCTGAACTTCAACAGCTGCCCAGATGAGCTTTCCTACAGTCGTGGCATTTCCTTCGTGCCAACAGGTTGGCTTGTGTTCGGTTGGGTGCTCACATGTTCTGGAAGGAAGAGTTTGCACCGTAAACCACTTCTTATCAGTAATAATTCAAGAGCAAGAAAGAGCTCAGCTTGACCCAATCACACTCCAAGGGTTTGCATATTCGGGATGAGGCTTTGCAATATTAAGGTTTTGTAATACTAAGACTTTGCAATATTGGGGCTGGGGCTAAGTTACTCAGGGAACGAAACATAGGGTTTGAAATACCGTGACTTAAACAGGCACACTCTGTGCTTAAAGACAACGGCATCTTTGGGAAACAGACATGCTCTGTGCTGCAAAGGAACGCTATCTTTGTACACCCTATGAAGCTAAGCCAGTGCAAACCGCTGCTGTAGTTAAGCAGTAAGTTGGGGTACCATGTGCCTGCCAGAAAGTTATGAAATCAAACCCTAAAAGGAGAGAAAGAAAGAAGTAAGAGGAAGGGGTGTATGAAACTGAGTAAGGGGAGGTGTAACCAGAGGCAGGACAGTTAGCACATAGATTATACACGTCGGAAAGGCTGTAAACCTTGGAGTCCCCAACCAATGGGGTAACAAGGGAGGGAACTTGAGGATGGGAAAGGAAATACAAATCAAAGTTCTGCCTTTGCTGTGTGTGCCTGCTTGCCAGGACACCCGTTTGTGCACAAACGTTAAATAAATAGCTGCTTCACTGCTGTGTCTGACCGAGGCCTGCCTGAACCTAGAGACTGCTTCTCACCCTTCAACTTCTCAGACACCAAAACTCATGACACATTCCCTCAGCAGGAGGCTCACCTGAGACTCCAACTTCTCGCTGCCTTCCTTTTTCTGGGATGCTGCTCTGGGAGGGGCACTTTCTCGCCTGCCCTGCTGGAGGCTGCTGCTTCTCTTCTCCCTGCTCTTCACTGGCATCTTCCACACTGCTTCTCTGGGCTTGTTTCTTCCCCTTTCTCTTCTTTACCCGTCTCTGCCAGACATTCTCCTTCTCCTTCCTACTCACCACAGGCAAGCAGAGGGGGGAAACAAAGCAGTTGTGTATTTTTTTAACTACAGAAATCCCATGCAAACGTTTCACAGAAGAGATAATCCCTTGCAAAAAAAACGTGTTTACAAAAACCAGCACTCACAGCGACTGCAGCCGTTGGCGAGGGCCTGTACTTGAGGTACGGCAGTAACTAAGAGTCACCTCAGTGTAGGACGCGACTGTGTGACGAAGCACGGAGCCTCCGGAACACCTGCACAGACAACACATGGCCAGGAGCCTGTCCACAGAGCACCAGGACAACCTGGGAACGAGAGACTTCCCCAGAAACAAGGCCTGGAACATTTCCAGTTCATCCTCAAATAACCTCCTGTGACACCACACTCATTTTCAGCCGCACGCAGGGACCAGGAAGGTCATACATATTTTGTACTGCAGGGTGCTGTACGCGTAGCCTGTGTACCGGGCCATCCACAGCTATCTCATACATTAAAAGCGCTAGGATTGAAAGGGCATTTGTAGAGCTTTAATGAGAGAAACTCCGTTTAGTTTTTAGATGGCATAAAATGACATGAACAAGCCCTAGATCAACTGCTCCCACATCTAAAGCCTTCAGCTCGATGACCAGGGGAAATCAGCAGCAGGGCAAATAAAGGTTCTGGCCCTTCTCAACACACTGAGACTTGAAATGGAAATGGTACAATGGGCTGCTGAAAACCACACTGAGAGCAACGCTTTGGCTTTATTCCGAGAGCAATGCTGACAACACACTGACGTTTTAGTTGTACATAAACTGGGGGGAGTTATCTGGAAGGGAAGGATCACTGCTCGGGTTGGGCTGGGTATCACTCAGCGGGTGCTGAGCAATTGTATTGGGCATCACTTGTGTTTATTAGCTTGGGGTTTTTTTTCCGTTTCCTCTTTTTTTTTCCTCTCTTCTTGTTATTTCCCTTATCATCATTATCACTATCACCAGCACTAGTACATTGTGCTTCGGTTATTAAACTGTTCTTATCTCCACCCTCGGGTTTTTCATCCTTCCCTTCCTGCTCCCCATCCCGCTCCAGGAGCCAAAACCCGGCTCAGAGTCAACGACACCTCGGGCCCGCCCCCCCCCCCCCCGGGTGCCGGGGATCGGCTGCCCCAGCAGCACCTCCCCCCCGGGGGGAAACAGCCCCCAGGGACCCCCACAACAGCCCCGCTCCATCCCCAGGGCCGGAAAGGTGCGGGACCCCCACAGCTCCCAGCCCCCCATGCCCCGGCTTCGCAGCACCCCACACTCCCAGCCATCTCGCAGCCCCACTGCCCAGCGCTCGCACCCGCCCCCCGCATTCCCCCGCAGCGCCCGGCCCCACTGCCCAGAGCCTCGGGGGGCCGCAGACCCCCAGCCCCGCTCCCCGGGCTCTGCAGCGCCCCCCAGACCCGCGCCGCGCCCGCTCACCCTCACCTCCTCCCGCTCAGCCGCCGCCATTGCCGGCTGCAGCTCCGCCTCACGCCCTGGGCCCGCCTCCGACGCAGCCAATCAGCGCACGGCTCCCCCGCGCGGGGCACGCTGGGACCTGTAGTCCGGCCTCCGGCACATGCGCACGGGGCAGTGGGCGGGGGGCAGCGGGCCCCCCGTGAGGGGCGGGGCCTTTCCTCATGGAGGAGCCGCCCCCCATGGGATCCCAGAGGCACCGGATGGGCTGGGGTGAAGGGACCTTAAAGCTCCTCCAGCTCCAAGCCCTGCCACGGGCAGGGACACCTTCCACATGGAAGGAGCAGCTTGCTCCGAGCCCCTGTGTCCAACCCGGCCTCCAACGCTGCCAGGGATGGGGCAGCCACAGCTCCTCTGGGCACCCTGCGCCAGCGCCTCAGCACCCTCACAGGGAAGAGCTTCCTGAGAGCTTGTGAAATACGAACTCACTCCTCTAAACGAGGTAACGAGGGTTTAGTGAGGGACAAAGGCAAGAAAGCAAAAGCAACAGCGTGACCGCAGCCAGAGGCGCAAGGGATTAGCATTTGGTACAGGTTTATATACTTTCAGTATTACATCAGTTACATGCATATTCATAATTCCCGCATATAGGCGGGGGATATTATAACTAGCTTCAAGAATTTATTATCACAAGTCTCCTCCTCTTGGCGTCTGTGCACTGCTCTGTGGTGATTGTGAGCAGGGGGCTTGAGGATGAAGTAAACAGTCTTCCTCTTGTGAGCAGGGGTCTTCAAGATGCAGTAAGCAGTCTTCCTCACGGTGTACTTTTCACCTCTGGCACAGTTGGGCCCCCCAGCAACCACACAGCCAGCTATATCTGTAATTACTCTGATAACTAGCAAGGATTTAAAACAGTGTGACCTTCCTGCAAAATCTGTTGCAGGATGGGCAGACAAGGAGTATCCCAAGCTAGCAGAGCCTTGGGAGGCTCTGTCTCCAAACTAACTGATAAGGATGGTGTGAAATAACTCGTTCATGTTTAGTGGGGCCACTAAAGCCTGTTACCTCACCACAGACTTACAACACAAACATTGCTCTTTAAAACTACTTTAGAAGACCAGCGTGAAACAATTAACTCATGTTTACATCCCACGGACTTACAACATAAACATTGTTCTCTTTCTACAGCCTAAATTAAGCTAAACAGTACTTTAACCCTATGTTTTCCAGGCACTAGCTTTCCTTATACCAAGCTTCACCCCCCACCTTCTCTTACCTTTACAAATTCTTTTGCTATGTGACTCCATTTAGATCAAGAGATCTGAACCTTTTTAACTTGCTGTCTGGTCTTGTATCTTTAGCGTGTTTTGTTTCTGTTACTGTAAACTCGTACAGTTATATCCTGCACGTGAGCACGCCTATGATTTGAGAAAGCCAATACATTTATGTGTTTATCACAATCTCCTCTCAAGCCACCTCTGTGGAAAGGAAAGAGGGGATAAAATAAGCAGTAAATTGCAGCCTCCTTGTGACTTCCCAAAGCCTCCGGTTTCAGTTCTAAAGCCTCGTTCGCAGGGTCCCGAGGCTCAGGTTCGGTTTCCAAAGGCTCGGCCGCGGGGATGCTGCTGCCGGGCGGGGGGCGCACGAGCCCGGCCGCGGGGCTGGGCAGGGCCCGCTCCGCCGTTCCCCGGGCTCCCGCGGCCGCGAGACCCCCCCCGCCGGCCGCTCCGCCCGGTGGCAGCGGGCGCCCGGGGCGCGCGTGGACAGAGCCGTTGACAGCGAGGCTGCGGCGGCGGCGGCAGCAGCGGCTTTTGAGCGGCTTCTGAGCGGCTTTTGAGCGGCAGCGACTTCGGCAGCGGCTTCTGAGCGGCAGCGGCTTCTGCAGGAGCAGCGGCAGCAGCACCAGGTGAGGCGGCGGCGGCGGCAGCTCTCGGCGGTCCGGAGCCCGCCCTCCGCCGCTCCCCGCGATGGTGCCTCCCCCGTCCCCCCAGCGTCCCCCCGCAGGGGCTCGCGGCACCGCTCCCCTCTCCCGCTTCTGGCAGTGGCTGCGCTGGGCGAGCCGCCCCTGGGTCTGGGTCTGGCGAGGCAGCGCCGCCCCCTGGCGCTCCCCGGCCCGCCCCCAGGCCCGGCCCCGCCTGGGGCCGGCCGGGGGCCGCCACCACCCACAGGTGCCCGGCGGCGGAGCGCGGACCGGCGGCGGAGCGCGGACCGGCGGCGGGGACCCCGCGCGCAGCGACAGCGGCCGCGTCTGTCGCACGGGGCACGACAAGGAGAGCTTCGAGCGGCTTTACCGCGTGGGACCGCTGCTGGGGAGAGGCGGCTTCGCGTCCGTGTACTCGGGGCTCCGCCTGTGTGACAACAGCCCGGTAAGGGCGGGGCCGGCGGCGGGCCGGGGAGGCGGCGGGGCTCGGCTCAGCTCAGCTCAGCCCAGCGCTGCCCTTGGCTCGCAGGTGGCGATCAAACGAGTGGCTCGGGAGCGCATCTCCTCGTGGGGCGAGCGGGTGAGTGCGCGGGGCCACCGGGACAGTGCGGGGCAGAGCGGGTGGGGGTGAGCCGGTGGGGCCGGCGGGGGGGAAAGTGGGACGGCGTGAGGGGAGTGGGTGTGGAGTCAGCAGGGGACACGGGCCGGGTAGGGGTGCACCAGAGCATCCCTGGGGATTGCGGGGGGCACCTGGGAGCAGTGGGGCCGGGCAGGAGGGCATCAGAGCATCCCAGGCAGGGAGGCCCAGGAGCCCCGGGCCAGCATCGGCCCTGCTGACGGTGCCGCGGTCCCCCTGCAGCCCAGCGGCACTCGCATTCCCATGGAGATAGCCATGTTGAGGAAGGTGCGCTCCGGCTGCAGTGCCATCATCCAGCTCCTCAGTTGGTTTGAGCTGCCCCACTCCTTTGTGCTGGTTCTGGAGCGTCCGGAGCCATCGCAGGACCTCTCCGACTTCATCAAAAAGCAGAGGTTCCTGCCCGAGGATCTGGCGCGGGGCATTTTCCTCCAGGTGCTGGTGGCTGTGCGGCACTGCCACAGCTGCGGTGTCCTGCACAGGGATATCAAGCCCAAGAACATCATCATCAACTTGGCCACCAGAGAGGTCAAGCTTATCGACTTTGGTTGCAGCACCCTCCTCAGGGACACGGTCTACACCACATTTAGCGGTGAGCCCACAGCCCAGGGTGCTTCCTGTACCGGGCAGTTTGTGAACAAGAGTCACGTGCTGATGACGAGGTGGCGGGTCACACCGAGTGTGCGTCCCCACGTCCGTGGGGCCAGCGGTGCAGCCCCTGCATCCCTGGGGATCCGCGGGCGAGAATCCAGGAGCAGGCGGCATCTGCCTAATGAGGTGCGCCCGTATCCTGTTGTAGGAACACCTTTGTACTACCCGCCGGAGTGGTTCCGCTGGCACTGGTACCACGGCCGTCCGGCGGCGATCTGGTCCCTGGGCGTGCTGCTGTATGAGATGGTGTGCGGGGTCCTCCCCTTCCGGTGCTGCGAGGACATCGTCAGCGGGCAGCTCTTCTTCCAGCGCCGGATCTCTGTCGGTAGGTACCTGGCTTCGCAGCAGCAGGGGAAGGTCGGGGTTTAGGGGGTGGCAGCTGATCGCCCTTGGTCAGCTGGAGGAGGTGGCCCATGTCCTGCCATCCTGCTCTCCTCCAAACCGAGTCATGGAGCAGGAGGTCTGGGTGCAGCTCTGAGCGCACCCAGGCCTGGGCGCTGCGGACGGTGGCACAAGGTAGGCAGGAGCCTCCCGCAACTGAGCGGCAGTTCCCGGATTCTCCCCAGAATGCCAGCACCTCATCAGGTGGTGCTTGTCCATGAGAGCTCGCGACAGGCCATCCCTGGACGATGTGTTCAACCACCCTTGGCTGCAAACATCCACTGCCCCAGGAGACAGCCGCCCTCCACCCTCACAGCCTGAGCCAGCAGCTGGGCAAGTAAGCTGGGGGTGCCTCTTGGGGGGAGTGTGGGGTTTGGGGGTTTTGGCAGGTTGGGTATTTTGGTGGGGATTTGGGCTCTTGGGAGGTTGGGATGGATTTTGGGGGCCTGTGGGGATTTTTTGGAGACTTTGAGGTTTTGGGGGTTGTTTTTTGGGGGGACTTTGTGGGTTTTGCGGAGAGCGGGGGGTTTTGGGTGTTTGGGGATTTGGGGAGTTTGTTGAGGTTGGGTGTTTTGGGGGGACTTTTGCAGTTATTGGGGGGCTTGTGGGGATTGGTTTCTGGGTTCTTTGGAGAGCAATAGGTGTCAGAGGGACACCTCATAAGAGTTATATCTCCTCCTTGTAGCTGGGGCAGTGGTGAGGTTGGGCTTTAGTCTGAGGATAACGCTGGTAACACACCGATTGTATAGTGGTTTCTGATTAGCACTTACCCCGAGCAAGGCTGATTCAGTCTCTCATGCTCTGCAGTGAGGAGAGACAAGATCTGACATCAAAGCAACAGACAATGCGGCTACTCCAACACAAGCCACGAGCACTGCAGCTACTCCAACACCAGCCACAACCACTGCGGTGACACCAACAATGGCAACAGGCACCGTGGCTACTCCAATGGCAAGGACTGTCACTGCAGCTACAACTCCAGCAACATGCAGTGCTGCTATTCCAAACAGGGCAAAAAAAGCAGTGTGGCTACTCCAAACTCAGTGACAAGCAGTGAGGCTTCTCAAACCCAAGCCACAAGCACTGCAGGTACTACAAATACAGCGACAGACACATCGGCCACTCAAACACCGAGGACAGGCACTGTGGCTGGTGCGACCCAATTCAACATGCCCTGCAGTTAATCCAGCCCCAGGCACAAGGACTGCAGTTACTCCACCACCAGTTTTAAGCTCTGCAGCTACTCTATCTCTGGGAAGGAGCAATGGCGCTACTCTAAGGCCTGCTATGTGTACAGTGGCTACGTCAACCCCAGCCACAAACACTGCAGCTACTCCAGTGCAAGCCACAACCACTGCAGCCTCTCCAACGCCAGTGACACACACTGCTGCTCCTGCAGCCCCATCAACAAGCAGTGAGGCTTCTCCAACCCAGGCCCTAAGAACTGTGCCTACTGCAACCATGGCAGCAGGCACATGGGCTACTCCAATGCCAAAGACAGATGCTGTGGCTGCTGCAGCCCCAGTGATGGGCACTGCAGGTATTCCAACCACATCAACAAGCAGTGAGGCTTCTCCAGTGCGAGCCACAAGCACTGCGGCTTCTCACTGCCAACCACAAGCCCTGCGGCTACTGCAACCCCGGTGACTGGGACAGTGGCTACTACATGGCAACAATAGGCATAAACACTGCAGCTATTCCAGCCACTGCAACAAGCACAGCAGCTGCTGCAGTGCCAGCCACAGCAACGGGGCTACTCAAATGCCTGAGACAGACACTTCCGCTACTGCAACCTCATTGACGAGCAGTGAGGCTTCTCCAAACCAAGCCTCATGCACTGCGGGTACTCAAAGTACCGTGACAGACACATCAGCCACTCGAATGCAAAGGACAGGCACTGTGGCTACTCCAGCCCCATCAAGAAGCACTTTGGACAATCCAACCCCAGGCACAAGCACTGCAGCTGCTCCACCACCAGTTTCCAGGTACGCAGCTATTCCAACTCTAGGAGGGAGCACTGTCGCTACTCTTAAGGCCTGCAACGTTTGCAGTGGCTAGATCAACCCCAGGCACAAACACTGTGGCTACTGCAAGTCCTACCAGAAGCACTACAGCTACTCCAGTGCCAGGCACGACCACTGCAGCCTCTCCAACACCAGTGACCCATCAACAAGCAGTGAGGCTTCTCCAGTGCGAGCCACAAGCACTGCGGCTTCTCACTGCCATCCACAAGCCCTGCGGCTACTGCAACCCCCGTGACTGGGACAGATGCTACTACATAGCAGCAATAGGCATAAACACTGCAGCTATTCCAGCCACTGCAACAAGCACAGCAGCTGCTGCAGTTAATCCAGCCACAGCAACGGGGCTACTCCAATGCTGAGACAGACACTGCCGCTACTGCAACCTCATTGACGAGCAGTGAGGCTTCTCCAAACCAAGCCACATGCACTGCGGGTACTCAAAGTGCCGTGACAGACACATCAGCCACTCGAATGCAAAGGACAGGCACTGTGGCTACTCCAGCCCCATCAAGAAGCACTTTGGACAATCCAACCCCAGGCACAAGTAGTTCAGTTGCTCCACCAGCAGTTTTCAGGTCTGCAGCTATTCCAACTCTAGGAAGGAGCAATGGGGCTACTCTAAGGCCTACAACATAGGCAGTGCCTAGATCAACCCCACCCAGAAGCACTGTGGCTTCTCCAACGCCACTGACAAACACTGCTGCTCCTCCAATGCCATCGACAAGCAGTGAGGCTTCTCCATCCCAAGCCCTAAGAACTGTGCCTACTGCAACCATGGCAGCAGGCCCATGGGTTACTCCAATGCCAAGGACAGATGCTGTGCCTGCTACAACTCCAAAGACAGGCACTGCAGGTATTGCAACCACATCAACAAGCAGTGAGGCTTCTCCAGTGCGAGCCACAAGCACTGCGGCTTCTGATTGCCAGCCACAAGCCCTGCGGCTACTGCAACCCCAGTGAGTGGGACAGCGGCTACTACATGGCAACGATAGGCATAAACACTGCAGCTATTCCAGCCACTGCAACAAGCACAGCAGCTACTGCAGTGCCAGGCAGAACAATAAGGCTACTCCAATGCCTGAGACAGACACTGCCGCTACTGCAACCTCATTGACGAGCAGTGAGGCTTCTCCAAACCAAGCCTCATGCACTGCGGGTACTCAAAGTACCGTGACAGACACATCAGCCACTCGAATGCAAAGGACAGGCACTGTGGCTACTCCAGCCCCATCAACAAGCACTGTGACTAATCCAACCCCAGGCACAAGCACTGCAGTTGCTCCACCAGCAGTTTTCAGCTCTGCAGCTATTCCAACTCTAGGAAGATGCAATGGGGCTACTCTAAGGCCTGCAACATACGCAGTGCCTAGATCAACCCTACCCAGAAGCACTGTGCCTTCTCCAATGCCAGTGACAAACACTGCTGCTCCTCCAACGCCATCGACAAGCAGTGAGGCTTCTCCATCCCAAGCCCTAAGAACTGTGCCTACTGCAACCATGGCAGCAGGCCCATGGGTTACTCCAATGCCAAGGACAGGTGCTGCGGCTGCTACAACTCCAAAGACAGGCACTGCAGGTATTGCAACCACATCAACAAGCAGTGAGGCTTCTCCAGTGCGAGCCACAGGCACTGTGGCTTCTCACTGCCAGGCACAAGACCTGCAGCTACTGCAATCCCTGTGACCTGGACTGTGGCTACTACATGGCAACAATAGGCATAAACACTGCAGCTATTCCAACCACTGCAACAAGAACAGCAGCTGCTCCAGTGCCAGCCACAGCAACGGGGCTACTCCAATGCCTGAGACAGACACTGCCGCTACTGCAACCTCATCGACGAGCAGTGAGGCTTCTCCAACCCAAGCCCTAAGAACTGTGCCTACTGCAACCATGGCGACAGGCCCATGGGTTACTCCAATGCCAAGGACAGGTGCTGCAGCTACTACAACTCCAGTGATGGGCACTGCAGGTATTCCAACCACATCAACAAGCAGTGAGGCTTCTCCAGTGCAAGCCACAAGCACTGCAGCTTCTCATTGCCAGCCACAAGCCCTGTGGCTACTGCAACCCCAGTGACTGGGACAGTGGCTACTGCATGGCAACAATAGACATAAACACTGCAGCTATTCCAGCCACTGCAACAAGCACAGCAGCTGCTGCAGTGCCAGCCACAGCAATGGGGCTACTCCAAGGCCTGAGACAGACACTGCCGCTACTGCAACCTCATTGACGAACAGTGAGGCTTCTCTAAGCCAAACCTCATGCTCTGTGGGTACTCCCCATACCCACAACTGCCCCCCAGGTGACCCTCAAGTAACATCCTGGACCCAAAACTGCTCCCAAGTGACCCCCTAGTGACCCCCAGACCAAAAACAGTTCCCCAAGTGTCCCCCAAATGAAATCCCAGACCCACAAGTGCCCTCCAAGTGACCCCAAAGACCCAGAGCTGCCCTCCAGTCATCTCCCAGACCTACAACAGCCCCAAAACTGCCCCCAGAGTGACCACTCAGACCCACAACTGCCCCCCAAGTGACCCCCCAGACCCACAACTGCCCTTAAGTGACCCCCCAGACACACAACTGCCCCCAAGTGACACCCCAGACACACACCTGCCCCCCAAGAGAGCTCGCAGACCTACCTCTCCCCCCAAGTGTTCACCCAGTGACCCCCAGAGCCATAACTGCCCCCAAATGATCCCCTCAGCCCTAAAATTGCCCTCCTAGTGGCCTCCCGGACCCACAACTGCCTCCCAAATGACACCCCAGTGATTCCCCAGACCCAAACCTGCCTCCCAAGTGACCCCCAAGTGGCTCCCCAGACCCAAACCTGCCTCCCAATTGACCCCCAAGTGACTCCCCAGATCCACAACGTCCCCACAAGAGATCTCCCTGACCTACAACTGTTTCCCAGCTGACACCCCAGTCAGCCCCAGACCCACAACTGCCCCATGTGCTCCCCAAGTGATCCCCAACACCCACAACTGCCCCTCACTGCTCCGCTCCATCCCGTTCCCATCCCGTTCCCATCCCATTCCCATCCCGCTCCCATCCCACTCCATCCCGCTCCCATCCTGTTCCCATCCCGTTCCCATCCCGCTCCCATCCCGTTCCCATCCCGCTCCCATCCCAGCTCCATCCCGTTCCCATCCTGCTCCCATCCCGGCTCCATCCTGCTCCCATCCCGGTCCCATCCCGGCTCCAATCCTGTTCCCATCCCACTCCCAGCCCGGCTCCATCCCAATCCCATCCCACTCCCATCCAGCTCCCATCCCGCTTCCATCCCGCTCCCATCCCGTTCCCATCCCGCCGCTCCATCCC